TGGACGAGAGAAATGAAGATGGGAAATTATTATTTTTGAAATTTAATTGTAAATTAAAAATGTAATTTAATGAAAGAGTTTTCTGGGAGTTTGTGAAATGACTAAGTTGCAATATTTTCATCAACAATTAATTTACCAAATTCTGTCATTGAAATTGCTTTACACTTTGCACTTGCATACAATTTGAAGTTATTTTCAAAGCAATAAACTTTTTTTGTGATTCTTCATCTAGGCTTCGACTCAACAAGTGTTCGCATTTGTCACAAGGATGCTAACCGTTAGCTGCATTCGCGCGCATCCGTAACGAACCACAAAAACGGGCAAACAAAACTCCTCTTCTGTATGATACTACTCCACTGTTCAGAGACGTGAAGAATATGAAAGTATATGTGAAATTAAACTAATTACTTGATACATGCGATTAAATTGCACGGATGTACCCCTCTGTTAGGAAATGAAGTTAAATAATATTACATAGATAGGGTTGCACTGGCCTGACCCTGCATTTTCGCATGACAAAATTTACGTAGCTTTCTCAAAAATAAAACATTTTTCTAATATTTTTGTGATTAACAAGGAAAGCAATAAGCTAATGATTTTTTTTATTTTTTGTTGTTTCAAAATTTAATTGTAAAAACAATTAATTGTTTCAAATGTTTTAAGAACGCGTTGTGAATCGTTCCAGGAACGTTTGTAATACTGAATAAATGTTTAATGAAAATTTGTTTAAAACATCAATTGCATTTTTTTTGTATTTGAAATTTTATAAATACGTGGGAAGTTACCTTTATACATTATTTATACAAATAAACATGTTTCGTTAACAATTTTCCTTCTAATTATGGAAATGAAAGGATAAGGAAGAGAGTGAGGTTTAACAAGCGGGAGTTCCTAAACGGATGCGCTAGTAATATATATTACCACTGAGATTATTTTTCTTGTTATATAATTTAAAAGTATTTATATTTAAAGTCTTAATATTAAATAAGATTTATGCTATTTTAGCTTGTATTAGAGATATGCTGGTTAATTATATTTTTCCAGTACAATAAAGCCTGAATCTTAAAAGAACGCCAGAAGTAAATTTCTACGTGAAGATTTGGCAAAACGTTTCAAAGACAGGCTGACCCGAAAATCTGTGGGGGAATTTTATGTATTTTTGATAAAACGGCCACGAAAAGTTCATGAATGCAATATAAATAGTTCAACGAAGGCCTGTATTTATATCCATTAAATGGATATAGAATCTACGAAAATGGTTTTTCATGTCGTCGTGTAGCTGTAGCATACGAAATCCTTCAATATCACTAAGAACAGTAACAAATAATTTTTATTCAGAATAAAATTAAACTCTAGCGCTTTTCACATGCAAAATTACACTTTAGACGTTTCAGATATTAACTTTTACATTTTACTTCGCGTAAGATGCTTATGAATATTTTCTTTTCACTTGTAGGGCAGGTATATTATCAAGGAGTATTTTCGTTATCCACAATATTCTTTTTATCGTATTACAGAGAAATTTCTCATTTTACTGTGAAGTTTTCGACATCTTCCGCAAATAACTAACGCCTTCTTGACTGCATGTAAGACGTGAGATGTAGGCGTTCCTTTACCATAACGATTCGTCACATTTGCAACACCTGTTTGGGAAACAGATTTAAGTCTCACACCAACAGTTAACCATAAAAAGTCATTAGCCAGAAGAAGTATGTTCTAACCTTTCATCTAATGATCGATAATATTGGTACAAAACCGAACAAGTAGAATGGTAAAATGATACGTTTCCGCTCCAGAAATGAACTTCCCCGCCCAACAAATTGCTCCCCAATGTATTTCCGGTCCAGTTCCGGTGCACGCGCCGACCGAGGCCTCGTTTTCATAGAACACAGTGGGCTAAACACGAAAATCGCACTTCGTATCACCACCATTCCTTAAAAAGCACATAATTCCAAAAAAGCAAATTTTAGAGAAGAGAACAAAAAATAAATAAAATTAAGTTATTTTAAAGAAGTCAGAATAAAAACACGTTTTCTTAATGAGATTAATTATAATTAAAAGAAAATTGTATAACTAATAACACTTATAATACTTCGACATTCAAGTGTTCTAAATTCACTTTTACAACCGTTTTCAAACTTACGAGTATTCTAAACTACCCTGAGGAGGCACAAACGAAATTACGTAAATCCAGATTATTCAAAATTGTTCATGGAGATTTTTAAATAATGTAAAAGAATTATGAGCTGTGACTTGCATGTCTTTTATACAAGATTAAAATTTGTAATTCATGAAAATAAAAATAACATACATAAAATTAATGTACTTCGTATTTATTGACGTCTTTCATGTTTTCGGTTTATATTCCAATTAGAAAGAAATTGAAATGCTACAGCCAGAAATACTTTATCCTTAAATACAAAAATAAAGTTTATTTTAGTGCAAAAGTTTCAACCTCTTTGTAATGTCTTCTTTCTTCTTTAAGAAATGCCGTTCCTGTAATTGCTACTCATTCCATATGAGTTCTAATCCCGAAGAAGAGAGTTTTCAATTGAGTTCGATTCCCCTTCCAAGGATCTCTATCAGCGCGAATAAGCTCAACGCTTATCTCTACTGGCTGTATGGAAGTGTAGCGCATGCACTTGAGTGGTGAGAAGGAAGGAATCGAGACTGAGGAAGGAAAGATCTCGCGCGATCCGCGCTCGTTTGATAAGGTTCCGCCATTCACCTGGTATAGGTCGTAGAAACCACGGAAAACTACCGATCAGAGCATTCGGCCGCTAGAATTCTCCTCCAGACAGCGGATAAATTCGACCTAGCTATGTAGTTAGTATTGAAAATACGCCACCGACGAAAGACACGACCTCCCTTTCAGAATCCCTGCAGAGCCAGAGACAATATTGTCTTTGAGCTAAAATCATCAATCGATCAGGATTGCATCGGTCGAATAAGCCACGGAAAACTACCGACCAGAGCAGCCGACTGCCAGAGTTCTCCTTTGACCCAACCAATGATCTTTCCGTTCTGTGTTCAGCGTATGCCCCCGCATAGGGCGCGTGGGCGCTGCGCACGCCGCGCCGCGCCGTGCGCTCCAGCCTTACATAAACGGCACTCGGTCGTCGCCGCCAGCACTCACGACGCACCGCTGGCGCGCTGGGAGTCCGCGGAAACTAGCCGACGAGGCCCGTTGGTGGCGGAGAGGGGTGGGGCGCCCGCGGGCGTCCGGACGCGCCAAGGGGTGGGGGGAGCGGTGGGAGAGGCGCAAGGAGGGGAGGTGGCAGACGCTCTTCCGCGCGGAGCTTCCCAAGTGTGAAACGAGCGGCGAAAAACTTTCCCCGCTCGCTCCCGCCACGCGGCGGCGGCGGCGGCGCACGCCCGTTTAGCGCGCCACTTAACCTGGCGCCGCTCCGGGCGCCGCCGCCTCCGTCACCTGCTCGACAACAAAGATCGGTGCGGAGCGGCGTAAATGTAAGGGCACGCGGCGAGAAAAAAAGTCTTCCGTCCATCGATTGTCTTTCTGTGAGTTACTTAATAAAACTTGTTTTGTGTTCAGTATGGAACTTGGTGTCAGCGTCGGAGAAATATGTTGGTGGTGTAGTAACGTAGCTTTGTATATATTGAGGACCGTGACACTTGTCTGCTCGCCCTGTTGACACTGATATCGCAGTGACAGAGAGCCTCTTGGGTAATCTATCATACAAAAATTGACCGCAGACAGATGAGAATGCGTAGATAATTTCATTGAATTCCTGGATAGTTATTTTCGTTTACAAGGCGTGTGAATAGAATGTTAATACATTTTCTAATGGTCGCCTTTGACTTCCAGTAAGTAATTGCATACCTAGTCGCTGAATATGTGCTGCAAAAGATCAATATTGTTTAATTTGAATAATCAAGTATTTTATTCTATCGTACATAAGAAGTCATTTATGTCATACGTTTAAAAAAAACTAAAGTTGACTCCGGTTTTAGTGAACTCAGATATAGTGAACCCTCGCATTCAGTGAACTTAAGGCACTGGCCCCTTTTCACTTACATTTCAAATAAGCATACGAAGATTCGGTTATAGTAAACCTGAACCTCGGCTATAGGAAATACAACGACCTGGAAGTTAATTCCTTCCTGTAAAAGAATACGAATATCATAAATCTCTTCACTGCCACAAATTTTAAAACTGGGCGGCTTGAAAATGATATTGGCTATATTTCCTGAGGTAAAGGTATTGGGCCAGGGAATGGGAACCTACTGATAACCTCATGCCACTCAGATACACTGCAGAAACAAAGGCCATGTCCTGTGTGGGCTGAACTGGCGGCAGTGACACGCGATTGCTTGCTTTAGTTTCAAGCTTAATGTTGATATTCCCAGAACAAGGCGCGTTGTGTTCTATGTTGGCGACAGGAAACGCGCGACTGCCACAGCACCGCAGCTTGGCAACCCCCCTCCCCCCGCATCGCGTGAAAAAGGGAACTCCTTTCATTTGGCGCTTGCACCATGCCGCTAGGAAGGATATTCTATGCTATTAGGCGAGTAAAAAGGCTTCGGTGAGTGGGGATTCCAAGAGTGCTAGAAGTATTGAAAGGTGTCAAAACTGCATTACGATACCAGTGGAGAATGCAGAATCAAGTATGGAGAAAGCACGAATTCTGGAGAAGGATATAGAGAAATTACTAATGAAAATGTACGAAACAAACAATTGGAAATAATTGTTGAGAAATTACATTTTATTTTGGCATCATCGGATATAGTAAACATCTGATATAGTGAAACAAAAATGTTAGTCCCCGGACGTTTACTATAACCTAAGTCGACTGTACTTTATTTACTATTTTCAGCATATTCAGTAAGAGTTAATTTGGGAATATGAGTTTCTTAGTAGGATGCAATTGATTTCTTAATTCATTATTATAAATTGACATTCTGACACTGAATGAAAATCGTGACAATCTGGTTTGAAGAAAAATTCAATAGTAAGACTCAGATATGAATGTAGAGTACGAATGGTACTCGGAAAGGAAAATGTCTTTCTCATTTGAGGAAGATTAACATTAATCCCATATGCTACATCTTTTTGTACATTCTTTTTGTTGAACTTTCTGCCCTGTTCACAGCTTTGCTCTCTCTGTTCTCCACTTTTTCTTACTCTAAAGTCACGCTTGTCACGAACACAACATTTTTCGACTTTCTAACTGCTCTAGTTCTTGTTTAATTCGTGACCATTATTTTGAAGTCAAGTAATTTCATGTTTAACTTGTATTCGTTTTTCTGCAAATACATTTTCCTATATAAAAAATCGTGTTAATTAATCAAGTTAGTCAATCACACATTTAAAAGCACAAATACTGTTCATATTGTGATCTAATCGGCAATTTTAGGACCAAAATAATCAGAGAACAAATTCAGATAAAAAATACAGGTTGCTTGAACATCATTTATTGGTTTAGAATGTTCTCAACAATTTATATGAGCAAAAATAACATATTTTATTTAAACGAAATACACTTTTAACTAAATTATTCATTTGTAATAGAAGATAATAAGTAATAAGAGAGTAAAGCAATTACTATTTTCATAATAATGCTAAATAACAATAACAATATTTAAGGTGCAATAAATTTATTTATTTGTATCTGCAATTCATGAAGCCAAAACTAAATTGCGTACAATAATGTCGTACGGTGAGAAATTTTATATTTTAATTAGGCGTTTCTTTAAAACTTAACTAATATTTACAACGTAATCATTGATTAATTAATGATTTGTCGGACCAGTGGGTGCATTTGTCACTTTTTAAATAATTATTTTAAAATATCTTCATAAGGAACGTACAATTTTAATACATACATTAGTATTTTGTTCACTTTAATGTGTCTTTTAGAAATTTAAGTACATATTTTGCCCAACTGTTTTTACTGTTTGTGAGGGGAGGGGGACCTGCAGCATAGAATGTTGCTAAACGTGAGCGTCCGTTGCGTTGTTGCAGACGAAGCGGCAGATCTTCCGCGAGCAAGTGCTGCCGCAGCGCGGCGGCAAGATCCCCGAGGAGGCGTTCCGCGTGGACCGGCTGGCGCTGAACCGCCTCAACAAGGACGGCATCGCGGTGCCCGACGGCGTGCTCCTGGACGCCCGGCGCCGCGCGCAGCACCACCCGCGCCACAACTCCGACCTCGAGCGCTCCGTCGTCAAGGTAC